TGTACATTAAATAGTTGTGATTGAGGCTGGAGAGATGACTCAGTGGTTAAGAGCACTGGCTGCTCTCCAGAGGTCCTGAATTCAATTCCCAGCACTCACATGGAGACTCATAACCATTTGTAGTGGGACATGATGCCCTCTTCTGGCATAATGGCGTACATACAGATAGTTCTGGAAAAGAGATGAACATGTGACTATCAAAGAAGGCTTGTCTTGAATGAGGTCACAGTTGAAGACACCTGTGAATAGATATTTGTTTCAATGTAACCCTGGCATATCCTGCACACAGATCCATAGTATTCTGAATGTGATAGGAATGAGTATGACCTGAACTCATTCTTTAGAGACTTGGGGTGTAAGCAAGGAAGAGGCAGACCTACACTAAAATGGTTCCTAAAGTAAACTGTTTGAAGAAATTGATATAAAGATTCTCCAGAGGACGGCTTTGAAATTTTCATGAATGTCTGTCCTTAATGTATGGAGAAATAAAAGAATTATGGGCTTATAACACAACTGAATTAAGCACTGGTTCTTTGAGAAAGAGCTATCTTCAGAAATCTTGAACTTCAGTGACCTTGATGGACAGTAGGGGAATCACACATGAAATCCCTTAAATAAAAATGTGTTAACTTTACAAAAAAATAAAACACTATTTTAGCTAGGAGACATTAATTCATTATGAAAGAAAAAGTAAACCTAAACCAAATAAGTAAGAGAAAATATGAATTTTAAAAGATCCTAAGATTAGGACTGGAGAGATGGTTCAGAAGGTAAGAGTACTAGCTGTTCTTCCAGAGGACCCAGGTTCAATTCCCAGCACCCACATGGCAGCTCACAACTGTCTGCAACTCTGGTTTCAGGGGATCTGACACCTTCTATACCAATGCAAATAAAATTAAATAAATAGTTTTTTAAAAAATTTAAAAAAATAAATCTTAGAACAAAAATAAAGATCCTAAGATTAGAGGCCTCCCTCAATTGTTAAAGAATATCTACAAAGCATCAATAACATACTTAATAATGAGAAACTGCAATGCTTCTCTAAGATCTACAAAGCAAGGGTACTTTTTCTCATAATCTTCAACAAAGTGCTAGGAATCCTAGTTAGTGCAAGAAGACTAAAAAAAGGACCTACATAAAACTGCCTTTGTACACAGATAACTACTAGCTATACAGAAAAATCTGAATGAATATACAAAAGCCTAGAGCCTAATGCATAACTGTAGCAAGAATGAAGGTCACAAAGTTAATATACTGAAGTCAATCACTTTCTTATATGCCAGAATGCACAATGAAATTTTTGCTTTGGTTTGGTCTTGGTTTTAGGGTTTTGCTGTTTGCTTTTTTGTTTTGAGATAAGGTCTCACTATATAGCTCTGCCTGTTCTGGAACTCACCATGTAGACAAGACTAGCCTTGAAATGGCATAGATCTGCCTGCCTCTACCTGTGGAAATGCTGGAATTAAATGTATGTGCCACTCCCACAGCCACAAAAAAAAAAAAAAGACTGGGAAGTGGTGGTATATGCCTTTAATCCCAGCACTAGGAAGGCAGAGGCAGACTCACTCTCTGTGAGTTTGAGGCCAGCCTGGTCTACAGAGCTAGTTCAGGCCAATCAAAGAAATCCTGTCTTGAAAACAAACAAAAAAAAGTGTGTGCTACCATTCCAGGAACAAGTGAAATTTAAAGGTAAAACCACATACCATTTACACTAGCATGCCAATATATATATAGATACGAATGGATTTTAACCGCCTATTTAGAAATCTAACAAAATGCATTCAAAATGTTCATTAGAAAAAACCATGAAACTCTGATGGAAGATGTCTAAAAATAACTTTAATTAATGGGAGATAGGATAGCCCATGTTCATGAACAGGAAGTGTCGGAAGCTGTCTTTGTCAAGCTACGGTCAGAGCCATGAGGTTAGTAACTGAGAGCCACAACTTCTCGTGCCTGGCCTATCAAGTCAGAAGTAGCCACACCTGTGCTCCCTGGGGTTTCCCAAAGACAGCCCTCAGAGCCTGAAGGGCACGCTTGTGCTGCCACACCAGTCATGTCTCAGACTCACGAGTCTGCCAGAGCACATCCACCCTGACAGAACTTTCAGGAGCTAGCAGATGTCCACCACCAGGTGCCCCAGACCCAGAGGAATGAGTGAACCTGCCACTTCTCTGGGCTGGCACTGTAGTTCAATGGTAGAGCACCCATGTTTGGTGTCCAGCAGCAATGGGACAACTTACTACTAGTTCTAACTCCAGTTCCAGGTTATCTGGTGCCCTTTTCAGGCTTCCATGGGCAGAGGGCATATGCATGATCCACAGACATAAATGCAGACAAAACATTCATACATATTAAATAAAATAAATGATTTTTGTAATAAACTGAAAATTAACCTATGGCCTTAGAAGCCAGAGCAGCAGTTACCCTTGGAAGAGACAAAAGTGACAGCTGTAGGGGAAAGGTGGGCTCTAGCACAGCAGTAAAACTCTGTTTCTGCTTCTGAAACCAGGATTAGTCAAATATGTTTAGGAAGAAATGCATCTAGGGCATACTTACAGTCATAGATCCCTTCCTTGAGGTATAAATGTTGTGGGAGTAACCAACCACTTTCTGACTGGATTTAAGGTCCACTCCACAAAAGGAGACCCATACCTGGCACTGTTCCTGGAGACAAGAACCGGTGGCTAGAAAACTCATAGGCCCTAAAAGAGAACCTATTACTACTCTATTGCTAAATAGACATCATAGTAAACTGACTCCTAATGACTTATTGCTATATCTACAGATCAATGTGTCTTTTAACCTTCATCAGAGATGCTTTCTGTGTATATGACTACTAATAGAGGTCAAGACGGCACAGCATAAGAGACTAAAGATTGAATGGAACACTCAGGAGGCAGAGGCAGGCAGATCTTTGTGAGTTCGAGGCCAGCCAGATCTACAAAGCTACCTCCGGGACAGCCAGAGCTGAGAAACCCTGTCTCAATCCCGCTCCAAAAAAAAAAGGTATACAAGCAGATTAAGCACTCATACACATAAAATAAATATTTAAAGCCAGGCATTGGTGGCACACACCTTTAATCCCAGCACTCAGGAGGCAGAGGCAGGCGGATCTCTGTGAGTTCGAGACCAGCCTGGTCTACAGAGCGAGTTCCAGGACAGTCTTCAAAACAATACAGAGAAACCCTGTCTTGAAAAAACAAAAAGACAAAAAAATTAAAAAAGATTGAATGCTCAGTCCTAAATAGAACTTCTATATCATTCTCCCTCTCCTTAAGGTTTAAAATAATTATGGAAGAGGGGACAGAAAGACAGTAAGAGGCAGAGGCTGTAGATGGCCATAAGGAAGCAGTGTTTTCCAGTTACACAGGGCAGTTGTACAAATGAAATGAGGATGATTGTGAAAACACAGACAAAACCTGGGCAAGTTCAATCCAGACAAAATCTCACCATGGAGAGGGGAAGCGGGCATGAAATCCCACCCCTAACTGAGAAGTTATTGGCAACTGATTGATGCTGAGAGAGGGAGAGTCACTTTTCTTTAAGGGTATAGTACCTCATAGGTCAACCACACTCCAATGAATGTCCACACACCTACGAATATAAGGGCAGTACAAATTTAATTCAAATGGTTTTTTTTTTTAATGTCACAAAGTTGAGTAGATAGGAAGAGGTCTGGGAGAATTTGGAGAGGGGGTGAATATGATCATATAGTTGTATGAAATACTGAAAGAAATAAAACTTAAGCCAAATATACCACACCAGACTTCTGCATCTCCTTTTACTCCCAAATGATTTGGCATGCCAATCCTCAATTTTCAAAATCGGTAACTGCACAAACTGGTCTACTCTGAACCAGAATTTGCTCACCTCAAACCAAGGGTGTGGCTGAAGAGGAAAAGTGAGCTAAAAGAGGGGTGGGGGCAAATATGTAACTTGGACATACTTTACACAATTATGGAGACGCAAATAAACTCCTTTATACACTATAGGGTATCCTGAAAGGTGCTCATCACAGAACTTAGGCAGTCAAGCTTTCCTGACCTTTGGAAGCAGCAGAACGAAGCAGGCCTATCCTTTCCCGAACAACTGCTTCAGAGCACTGTGGGCTTCTGCTGTCACCCGTCCCAGGAGAGACCTGCCTTCCCTCCTCTGGAAGTTTTTAACTGTCCTGGCCACGGGGGCGGAGGGATGTGATGTGAGTGGGAGGCCGCAGTCAATGCCAGGCTGGAAGCTTGGGAAGCCCAGGCAGTCTGCACCGCCTCCACCTTAGCCACGGGCAGCTCAACCCAGGTACCACCGCACCAGGCTAGAGGGCACGCAGCAGCCCCCATCACCCCGCACCCGGGGCGTCAGCAGGAGATAAGAGATAAACGCAGGTGAAGAAGAAGGTGAAGACGGCGAAGCAGGTAGTAAAGGAGATGAGGGTGCGTGAACACACACACGCGCGCGCACACACACACGTGTAGGTGACTGGGACAAGCGACAGGAGGGGAGAACACTGGCGATGCGAAGGGTTGCAAGTGATGGGAGGGGAGTGCAAGCGACAAGAGGTGGGCACGGGTGGCTGAAGGGCAGAGATGACAGAGTGCAGGTGACGGGAGGGGACACGGGTGGAGGGGGTGCAGTGGGAGAGGAGCAAAGGCGATAGGAGGGGGGTAAGGGTGATGAGAGCGGGGCAGGAAGGGCAGGTGCGGGGCGGGGGCACAGGGTTAGAGAGGGCAGACAGGAGGGGAGGGAACGCGGGTGGCGCCGGGAAGGTCTACGAAAGGGAAGGGCGGCGGGTGACGGGAGAGGCACCCAGGTGAGGAGACGGGGAACAGGTGACCGGGTCGCAGGGGACAGAGGACGTAAGTGACGCGGGGCGTCGGAGTCGGTCTGCAGCAGACCCGGTGGGGCGCCGGGAGGCCGGCATGGGCGGGGGTCTGGGGAGGAGCCAGGGGACCCTCCAGGTCCGGCGCGCGGTGCAGGACCACGGGAGCCGCCCGGCCACGCACCGTGGACTCTCGCACTTGGCTGTGGAAGTGCTGCTCCCGCGCCGACACCTCGTCCTGTCCTTCCATCCTCCTTCATGCCCGCCGCAGGGCCGTCCGCGTCCGCGCGCTCCGCCGCACCATTGCCCGCGGACGCCGGGGCTGCACAGCCGCTCGCTGCCGGACACGAACGCCGCCTGGACCGCAGCGGGCACGGGAAACGTCGCCTCAGCCGCCGCCTCAGCTCAGGAAGAAGAGGCTCAGGCTGCGGGGGGCGGGGAACGGCCGCCGCCTGGGCGGGGCTTGAAGCCGGGGCGGGACTTGTGCGTCACTCAGAGGGCGCCAGACGTCAAAGACGCGCGCCTCGGCGCCGGGGGCGCTGGGACGAGGGTCGGTAGGCGCCAGGGGGGTGTGGCCGGCGGGGTGGGGGCGGAGTTTTAGGACCCAGGTCTGAACTGGGTATCTAGCGCGTGCTGGGGCATTGCCGAAGTCTGTAGCAGGGTCTGCGGTGTTGCATTCGGTCTTGATGCCCATGCCCAGGGCTGGTAACAAGGGCGGTGCCGAGGCTCCAGGCAGGGAACGGTCTAGAGGCGGAACCGTAGGTGAGGGAGGGATTTGGGGGCGTGGTGAGATCCAAGCACAGGTGCTTCTCTCCCTCTTTAGTTTGCTGAATCTTTTGAATGACCCACGGGCTGATCAACCTGCTCCTCCCCTGCTCCCCCCCCCCCCCCCCCCCGCATCTGAGCTCAACACTAGGCTAGCCTAGCCTGAAGAACTGGGGTCTACTACAAAAATTCTCTGCCAAGCAGGTGCAAGGCTGGAAAGCGGTTGCAGAGTGGCGCTCTGGGCGCAAGCCAGAAGCCCATTCTCTGCGGAGATAAGAGAGACGCTGTTTTTCTGGAGGACAGAGATAGCGCGGTTCCCAGCCCTGCAAATGAGCAGGGCCGCTCAAGTTCATGGCCCTCTGTAGGCCTTAACGCGCGTATTTGGAGCACTGCTAAATATGCCAATACTGTAATTTCCCTCCATTCTGCAATTCTTTTGTTTTAAAATGGTAATTTAGAGGAGTATTTGTTTAGCTGGTTTGGTTTTCGAGACAGGTTCCTCCGTGTAGTCGTCGCTGTCCTGGAACTCGGAGATCCACCTGCCTCTACATCTCTCTGCTAGGACCAAAGGCGTGTGCCACTGCCACCACCCAGCTCTTAGAGAAGTATTCGTAATTTTGTTTCTGGGTTCATTTGTCAGGAGATCTTGGGGACCTGAGGTGCTCCCAGACTGTGTTCCAGATACAGCAGACTGATCATCCAGTAACAACTTACAGCTGGTTGAATTCAAACCAGTTCACCTTTGATATGTCTTTAAATATCTCAGCCCTAAAGAACTAGGAAAAGACTAGTATCCTGGTCTCTTTTTCTTGACACCCACATTCTGAGAGCTAGGTTAAATACCCACCTGAACTGATCTAGATGATTTCTGGGTAAATCTGTCCAAATGAGAGGATAAACACATCAGCTTTTAAGTGTGTGGCAGTTGGGTACCTGTTCCAGAAAGTGAAAGCATACAGTATTTCACACCTTTCCAATCAGATACTGCAACCACTTAATACCTTTACATTTCTGTTACAGAGCTATTTGTGGAGGCTTACCCACCCTTTATTTGGATGTTTTGCTGTCTTTGTCACTTTTGAAACTTAACCCAGGATGGTCAGCTTCAAAAATGGACAAAAACTCCTACTCCCCTGCCAGGCACCTTGGCTCACCCCTCTGCCCTATGGCTTTGCCTCTCTTCCAATGAGAAACACTCACCCTTGAATCTGGCCCTGATTATGTGACATGCTCTAGCCAATATGAAACTCAAATTTTAGAGCTTGTGCCTTAGAGCTTGTCTTTCCTGTGTCCCCTAGCAACTCCTGCAGCTGGTAAAAAGAAGCCCCAGGCAAGCTGCAGTTAGGCAGTCCACTACTGAAGGGACACTACAGCATGTGGCTCTGACAAGCCTTACCCTTCTCTCTGTTCCCTCTGCCTTGAAAAAAAAAAAAGACTACATTCCTAAAGCTAGCCACCAAGGTCTGTTCCCTTATTTAGCCGCTTCATCCTCCTGAGGCTGACGACCAAAGTCCAGCAATCAGAAGCCTCATCCTACCTTTATAAACTGCCATTCCCTATGGACCATGTCTGTCTCCTCTCTATGCAGAGGCAGTCCTTTGTCCCTCCAGGATAAATATCCCTGCCCCTTTCCCTTGTCCCCTTCCCCTTCTCCTTCACCCCCTATCCCCTTTACCAAACATCCCAGCCCATCCTAGCACAGACCTCCCATTTTCTCTTAAGAATGACACCTGCAAGGTCGTTGGCTGCTGTTTTTCCACTTGAGTCAGAAAGCAGCCACTTTAACTTTTCTTCTCTGCTTAAAAGGGGGATCTCTCTGTGAAAACAGGTGCTTGGGTCTAATTTAGGATCTGGAAGGAAGGCCCTGCTGCATAAGAATTCCCTTCAATTACTTCTGCTATTCTAATGAGTACCCTTTTCCCACATCCCTCTTCATGATTAACCATACTAGCTATTCATAGAAACCAGGTAGTGGTGGCACACACACCTTTAATCCCAGGACTCAGGAGACAAAGGCAGATGGATCTCTGTGAGTTCAAGGTCATCCAGGGCTACATGAGACTGAATCAGTCTAAATGAGAAACAGAGCCCATGGCTTTAATCCCAGGACTCATGAGAGGTATTTAAGACAGGAACAGGGTCTCAGAGCTGGCATTCATTCTCCAGCCACACTGAAGATAGGAAGGCATTCATTCTGCAACTACATTGAGGAGGCAGCAGTCTGAGGCTTGGTGAGAGCTCTTAGAGACAGGATCAATCCTTTCAGTCAGAAGTAGAGGTAAGAGCTGGCTGTTTACTTTTCTGGTCTTCAGCTTGAAGCTTTAACCCCAATATCAGATTCTGGGTCATTTATTATTCATGTTACAATTAATCTTAGGTAAAATAAGTCAGATATAGACAAATGTAGCATGTTTTATACTCATTTGTGGATAATAGGTTTTGTATTGATTCCTAAAACATATTCATATATGTGCATATATAACATGTAAGTAAAAGCAAGAATGTCTAGAGGAAGAAAGAGGACTAGCCAGAAGGAGAGGAGAAAGGATGAGGAGTGCATGGAAGTGTACATGATAAAAGTATGCTTGAAAGAAAATGCTGTTAGAAGCTGGGCGGTGGCTGCACCATCTTTAATCCCTGCACGGGGTAGGCAAAGCGGGCGGGTCTCTGTGAGTTCGAAGCCAGCTTGGTCTACATAGATAGTTCCAGGACAGCTAGGGCTGTTACAAGAGAAACCCTGTCTTGAAAAAACCAAAAGAAGAAGAAGAAAGAGAGAGAGAGAGAGAGAGAGAGAGAGAGAGAGAGAGAGAGAGAGAGAGAGAGAGAGAGAGAGGCCTATAATGATGTACAATGAACATGTGAACATGCACCAATTAAAAATTAATAATTGGGCCAATAAGATTGTTTCTAAACCCAATGGCCTTAATTCTATACCCAGGACTCATGTGGTATAGGAGAGAACCAACCCCACAAATTTGACCCTCACATGTACCCTTGTCACATGAGCATACACACACCTAAATAAATAAATGTAATTTTTAAATTTAGGAAAAATATTAATATCCCTAATACTATTGTCATGTAAGCTTGTTTGGGCCATTACAAGGCCTTAGAATTTTGCTCTGGAAGGTGTTAGCATTCTGGAATTACAATTGTCACATACCATACTGTATTTGGAGACAAGTCAGCAGGTAAGAGTGAAATCATGAGACTCACTGTGTTAATTCAGAGCCCATGTATTGGATTCATGTGGAGGCAGTCCAAATGATAAGAAGAGGTGTGAAGACTAGATGTGTGTTCACCTAAGAGAGGACTTTGGTAAAGCAAGTGAGGTGAGGTGTGAACCAAGCTTCCTAAAATGAGGGAGTGATACACCCTGCTATCAGTATATAATGTATACCAAGATTTGTATCAGGAGGGCATGACCAACAAGTATTTTAAAAGACGTTTCATTTACTTAATACTTTGAACACATTGCTGAAACCTAAATGATGCAACTCATCACACTTACCTGATGGGATGTTGTCAAGAATGTGCGGGTCCAAGAAATTCTCTCGAGCTCCAAGTGAACCAATACAGTGTCTCCAGAACATAATGAAGCCTTCTCTTGTAAACCTGGAAATAATCAGTCAGCAAGTTATTGGCACATGGATCTGTTTCTGTTTGTACAGTGTTGCCATAACAGAGATTTGTTTGCTATTTTTCAACAACAAACACAATCCAGAGCCTGACATACAACAGCAACTCAGTGAGACTTTGTTGGATAAAGAAAGAATTAAATAAGCAAATGACGAAACTAGCCTGGGTTACATAGTGAGACCTCCAATTACATGCTGTGGTATGCGCGCACACGCACACACACACACACACACACACACACACACACACACGCACACGCACACAATAAAGAAATGTAGATAAACTAAAATCTTGCCTCACCATGCATTACATGCAGCAAAACTACCAGGCCCTGCCCATTTTCTCCCCTCCTAAATTCTTTGGCAGTATTATGTTTAAGCTGAGTATGTACTCCAGAAAGAGAGGAAGGAAGGAAGGAAGGAAGGAAGGAAGGAAGGAAGGAAGGAAGGAAGGAAGGAAGGAAGGAAGGAAGGAAGGAAGGAAGGGAAATGAAGAAATCACAAGCAGACATCCTCACCATTCCATGAGTTTGAGGAGTAACAAACGCATCAGTGTTGTCCAGAGAAACAGGCCCAATGGAGCTGAAGAGAAACAGGCATAGAAGGATACAGTCAGTAAGGATTTGAGTCCCAAAGTTTCAGTGGGCAAGATGGAGACCTGTAGGAGACAATAGTGAAAGTTCTAGACTGAAAGCTGGCAGGTCACCCCTAGATCTGATATTGGAGTTTGAGGACAAAGTCAAGAAGAGACCAGTGTCCCAGGTCAAGAAGAGCAAAGTTCTCCTTTATATGTGGAAA